TATGCCCCCAACAGGCTATGATCTCCCCAGCCCCTGAGGTGAAAATGGCACCGTCGCTTTAAGCCCCCCCATAACCTCCTCCCAGGGCCAGAAAGGGGGACCCCCCCACCCCTGCAGACCACACAGCCCTCCCAACAGCCCAGCTGCTCCTCCCCAGAGCTGGCTGCATCAGAAAGACATTGTGGGGAAAGGTGGAAGGGGCATGGCTTCCTGGATCCCTTCCCCACCGCTTGGCTTGGGCCTGGTTCCCTGGAGGGGTCAGCCAGAGCCAAGGAAAAATCCCTGAGAGGCCAAAAGAGGGGTCAAGGTCATTAGGAAGCCCCGCCCCCTGCCCAGAGGCCCCACCCCCTCACCAGGATGTTGAAAAAGATGTCCTTGAGATGGCGGGTGTCCTCGTCAGAGAGCCAGTGGGCATCATCCTCGTCCCCGAAGCCGCCCGGCGTCATGATCTTGATCTCGATCTTCCCTGCCAGGCAGCAGCACCCACAGGGTCAGGCAGGTCTGGACCCCCCCATGCCCACCGGTGCCAGGTACAGAGCCCCGGAGCCAGTGCTGCCTGGATGCCAGAGTTCCCCGTGATGTGGCACCTCCCCATACACCCCCACCCAAGCAAAGCCCAAGCCCAAGGCTTAGCTTGCCCCAGACAATGAGCAGTTCTGGGTGTCCCCCGGGCAGCGCCAGGCCCCACACCCATGCCTTCACCTTCAGCCTTGAGCCCCTCACGGTCCAGCAGGTCCCGGACTTCGCGCTCGAGGTGGCGCAGCCGTGGGCTCTCATTGCCCTGCTCCCGCACGGGCAGCTCCTTCTGCAGAGTGCTGCCCGGGCGCACCCGGGTCACCCGCACCCTCACCCGCTCATCCGTACCATCTAGGGGAGGAAGAGAGGGGATCAGTGCCCAGGGCAAGGCCCAGGGGCCCCATAACTAACGGGGCACAGGCTGGCACCCCCCAGCTCCTCCCCAAGGTGCTGTACCAGCCTCCGGCTTGGTAGCAGGGCTGGTGTCATCTTCAGCCTCCTCCTCTTCCTTGTGCCCCTTGGGGGCACCGGTGCCTGCGTCCAGGCGGTCGATGAGCTTGTTGAGGGTGGAAGCCAGTGACTTAGAAGCCCGGGTGCGGTCAAACTCACCCTTCAGGCCCTCGGTCTCCAGCTCGTCCTCGACCTGCGGAAGATGCAGGGCAGGTGAGAGGACTCCTGGGTCCCTCCCCCACCAGCCAATAGTGGTTACAGGTGCAAGTGGCACCCCCTTGGGGCGATGCCCAGGGAACAGCAGTGCCCAAGCCGGCTGAGGGGGGCTGGGGCTCACCTCGTCCAGGATGTTGTCAAACTCCTTCTCCACACGGGCCCGCACCTCGGCCCCCAGCCGTGGGGAGCGGGCACCAGGCAGCAGCTCCTGCAGCTCCTTCTCGAAGGCGCCCAGCAGCTCGGCCTCATCCTGCTCCTCCTCAGGGGGTTCAGGCCCTGCTGTCGCCTCCTCGGGTTCAGGGGGCTCTGGGCTGAGGTCTGCTGCCTTTGCCTTGGCCTGAGTGTGTAGGGTGAATCAACAGTGAACCTGGCACAGCATGCATGCGCTCTCTCCCCGGCACCAGTGAATTCAGGCCCTGGGCTGGGATCTACCAGCTGCAAGAAAGAGCCAGCAAGAACCTAAACCCCCTAGGCAGGGCTTGGTCCCGTGGCCTTGGAGCTGTGGGTGCTCAAACTGCATCTCAGCGTGTGAACATT